AGGCGGAGTGATTCTTAAAACTTCCTTAAAGACACAATCTAAAAATTTCAATTGTTCAATTTGATCAAAAGTTGGATGATAATCACGATCAGGAAATATATCAAGTATTTCGTTGCGAAGTTGATCTTGAATATCAGGATTTGCTGCGAGAAAGTATAGTGTCCAAGATAATGTAATACTGGTGGTATCATGTCCAGCTATGAGTAATGTCATAATCTGAAATTTAATAGATTTAAAGTTTAAGTAAACTTAATAAAATTATATATTTTAAATATTTTAAATAACTTTATTTATTTCAAAGAATTTAAATAAAAAAGTTTAATAATATTATAAATTAATCCTTACCTGACTAATTAATTCATAACGAGTTAATTGTTCGTCAACGGGCAAGGTATCATTTGCTTTTGCTAATAATGAAAATAAGTCTGTTCCTCGAACAGGATTATTTTTTTGATTATCAAGTAGTTTCTCAGAAATATTAGAAATAATTTTGAGAGAATCATAATATTTATTGTTATCAGGTGTTGGAAATTTTCTGATAAATGGAAGGAGGCTGGAAAGAGCTATGAATAAAGGTGTATGATTACGACTAGTTACGACCTTGTATGCTTTAGATAATTCAGACTCTGTAGTTGTTGAATTAAATTCGTAGTTAAATCCTATTTACAATAAATAATATGATTACAATTGCGATTAGGTCGTTGTTAAAAAAATTTAACATATAGTACGAATATAAACTAATACTTGCCAACAAGGCCAATAACATCCAAAGTTATCTTTGAAATTACAGCCGTAATTGTAATTCTTTCCTCTTTCTTGTTACCAATTTCTTTCATCCAGATATCCTTTAAATTATGGCCAGCTTGAACAAATGTTGGAGTCATTTCCTTAAAATTAGAAAGTTTAAAATTGTTAGATCTAATTATACGGATTAATTTTTTTAATAGATCATTAATTGTCGTAAAAGAATACCTTGACATTGGTAAAAGAAAATGAAGGAGACATCATTTTTCTTTGTCGTTTATGAACATCTCCTTCAGAAAGTATAATACCTTCACCAACTAACTCCTTGATTATATCCTTATTCATGTCGTACCTTGGAAAATCATATGAACGACTCATCAATATCATTTGTACGAGTTTTGGATCGGTAATTAAGAGATGGGGTTTATTCAATAAGGCATGATATCTAACTATCCCACCATATTGTTTTGCTAAGTGAATAAAGGCTTTACTATGATCTTTTTTTAATAAAGAGGAATAATGTCCAAGAATTAAATTATCAACAGGTGGGCCAGGAATTTTACGCAATGGCGACACAAATAAAGGAAAAATATAACTTTTATACAGAAAGTAGCTAACAAATGCGACAATTGCAGCTAAATAGTAATACATTTTTGAGTTTTAGGTGTTAAGTGAATACAATATGCTAGTATTTTTTGCTTTTGATTTTTGCGTAGAAAAATTACCTACCTT